TACGTAGTTGTTAGCGATGATGCAACTGTCTGGGGTACCGGACCAAAGTTTACAATTTAAAGATAGCTTATTATTAAGATCCTTAATCACATTTGAAATTATAAATTATAAATACGTAAACCTGTATACTGTACTGCATTTTAATTTTACATTTGTATTTAACGTTAATAAAGGATATTACGTAATTCGAAACTGTACAAAAAGAAACGTTCTCGAGACATGCTTTGATCATGCTTTGATCTAATAAAATAACAAAGTTCTTACTTGTAGTAATATATTACTTGTGAATACATTATTATTTTGTTTTGTGGTCAAACCTAGTAATTGCAAGTAGTGGATGCTCCTCCACTCTAAATAAGCCGTCGATTTCTTTTGAATTGTTATTCTGAACAGGCCTATCAATAAGTCCTGTCACGCCCGTGAATACATTGATCATTGTTGAATAAACAAAGACTTTATTATAATGATTTGATTCTCGTTACAAGAGTGATTGTATTCTAATTCCTTTTTTTTAAACACCCCTTATCGTTGAGAAAAGGTCGATTTGCGTACGGGAAACCTTAGAACACCCAAAGAAACCCTTTGACCGTAAATAATTTAGTCTAGCTCCCATCCCCGTTGTGAAAACCCCTCTTTAGTGAAACATTATAGTAAGACAACAGTACTCTGGAACTGGCAAGATAAAATGCATTTAAAAGTTGTCTGAATGTAATTAATAATATTATTAATTATCTTTATTTTCTTTCAATGCAGATAAAATTTGATGATATGCTTTATAAAAAACAAAAACTTCGATTCGTATACGCAATCAAAAGAAAGTTTTTACAATGGGAAATAGATTTCTTAAACATGAGCACCAGAGAATATCGATATATTTTCCATCCAAGTAAATCCTGGGGCGAATATAATTAATTTATCAAGCATATAATTACGTACATCTAATTTGATTGTTAAACGTTATTGTTATTCTTGAATTTAAACTTTGAAATTATGGCCTTACACTATAAAATAAAATTGATCAAAAATCTAGTGTTATTTCAAATCCATAAAAAAATTATTTCCTCATGAGCATTGGCTGATGTTTGCGTAAACTTTCGGCTACTTGCGTAAAATGCTCAGTAAGTTTAATTTCGTTCATTGCATACACATATTGACATTTTAAAGCATCTTTGTTATTAGATCGAGGGAGATATTCTGTTGCAATATCTGCCATTTTTTGAAGTGATTGGCCCCAATGAGCATGAGAACCATAGCTACCCGTGAACATTATTGTATATAAATATAAAGGCGTCCTAATAAAGCAAAAATTGTCAGAAAGTTTATATGATTATGCGGCTATAAAAAATGCAGTGTTTATTTACCCTTTGTTAGCCTCTCTTTGGCAAAGACTTCGTAATTCAGATTCCGGCGGATGATATTCACCATCAGATAGAAAAATAATCACGTTGGTTCTAAATAAACTAAGATTTTTAGTCGAATTCCACATTACCATGAAATAAATAATCCTCATTAGTCAAATACCATGAAATGGATATTCTTGGAGAACTTACTTTTGCGGATCGTAGTATTTTTCAATGATTTCAGCTGCTTTTTTTATTCCTTCATGATAATAATTATCTCCAGTCGGGTTAAAGCTCATCATCTTGTTTAAAAGCTCTTCTGTATTAGATAAGCTTTGATTTTCAAAAACTACAGTTGCCACATAATCAAACAAAATTAGTGAAGTTATATCACGATCTACAGCTGAGAGCCCAACGCGAGTAGCTTTTCGAGAATTTTTACGCGTTTCAATAAAAGTATACACTGCTTCATAGACAGCGCCTAATCGATTATTATGATTATGTAGCAAACGAGTTGTTTGTGAGTTGCTACAACGAGGTCGGCAATCACCAGAAGACATAGAGCCACTTCTATCAACGACGAAAACAATATGAAAATCGCCAATATTAGTCGCAGGGTTTTCGCAAGAAAAATGATGACCATCTGTTGAAATATATCCAACATTTCCTGGAGGATTTGAACTTGGATTTAATCCAGCATGAAACAATTCCTGAGTACAGAATGACTTTGCTGGATCTTTTCCGTCAATAGGTTTTTGATGTTTTTCGTCGATGCATTCATGATCACATTTTTTGAAACTTTCGCGGTCATCTCTCGAATACGGATCTTTATTCATTTATTCAAATGGTTATATGTTAATATAAATCTGATATCAAATACAACATGCAAAAAGCTATTATCAGCTACCTTGGAATTTAGTCCTTTCCCAGAAAACACGATGAGATATATAATCTTTCTTGAGACTCGGATTAGGACTTATATTTGCTGAAGTTAACTTGTATTAATATATTGCGAGATAAGATAAAGACAAATCTTAAATCAACTAACCCGTTATGTGCTCCAATATCCCTTCTTTTTTTCCACTAGTGAGACTTCCGCAAACAGCTGGATCTTTACAATAATCTATATGACGATGATGACCTATACTTTCACAAAGCTAAAGATTGAATTAATATAAGTCTTTTTATGTTGTTGGAAAATTCTAGATATGCATACCTTATGACAAAGCACAAAATCTCCTCTATCACCTATAGTTAATCGATGTCCTAAAACAAATCATTCATTTTAAATTTCGGTTATTTTTATTTCACTTGCAGGTAAAATATTTACCTTCAAATTCGAATTCTTCTTCTTCACATGTGAATGTTGTCAAGAGCATATTTCCATGAACAGTGTCTAAAAAATAATCTAAATTAGTCGAATATAAATAAAGTATTAATCAGATATCTTCGCATTTTTTACCATGTTCACTATTATGTTCTCTTCCGTGATCATAAGGCAATGTACACTAAATTTAAAACTGATTAGTTAAGAATCACACAATTATAAAATAATACAAATCGAAACCTACATAATAAGCGCAATTTGGACATTTAACATCGCAATAATGAAAGTTTTTGTTTTCTTCAATAACGTGTGCGCCCAAATCGTCTGGACAGGTTTCATCACATTCATGTATTTTCTTGACCTCGTGTACATGTTTCCCTTCATGCTTGAATTCATTTGGAGGTATTTTGATGCAACAAGGAAGTCTTTGGAAAGTTTGAGAATACTAAATTATTAATTTTAAATGATGTTTAGTATACCATTGATTATACATAAAGAATTCAGTAAAAAAAGAAAGACGTCTTTACTCAACTTTAGTAAACATAAAGCTGCCAAATTTATTCACATATTCTGCTTCTTCCTTTACTATCGCAGTTGGCTCAGTAACGATTTTACAAATTCCTAATTCTTCGCATTCGTTAGGGCACTGATGCTCTTCGCTAAAAGTTTTCTAATCAGAATTAGATATTTTCATAAGAAGAGAATATTAAATGAAAATTACAGACCCGCAAAAATGATCCACGTTTTCTTCTAATGCATGAAAATGTTCTCGACTTTCGCACCTTCGACGACATATGGCTATTGGGCATTCGATTGGACAAACCTCATTCTCACATTTGTGCACTTCATGTGATTCTTCACAAGGAATCTATTCAAGGACGCGAAAATATGATATGGCATTTCAACATATATTCTCGATTATTCAGAAAAAGAGGCAACTTACTAAGCAACTATTACGACATTCATAATTTCCTTTTTGAGTATCAGCCCTTAATGAACATGGAGCACCGCAATAATGACGGGTTGATTCGCATAAGTGAACTTCATTTCCTGTCATAGTTTCATGGACAATATTTTTAGCGCACTTTGACTGCCAATTTCTCTTTCCACTATAGATACAAGATGCTCCGCACGAATGACTCGCTGACAAGTAACATTGTTGTTAGTTTCTAAATATAGAAAAATTGTCTTTTCATAATGAATAATAGAACATAATGATTACCTGACATTTTCAGAATCTAAAATAAAGATTTGGTAGATTTTCACTGCGTATTTATTTGCTTCAAATTATAGATTGTACATTTATTTTATAAATTCGATTAACTTCTTTACTAAGAAATAAATACAAAATTTAATCTATGAATATGACAGAATAGGCCTTTTTTGAGGATATTCACGGATTAAATTTTGTATTTGCTTCTTAGTAAAGAAGTTTATTGAATTTATAAAATACAATCTATTGATGAGTTTAGATACATGTACGTATTATGCACCATATTATTGACCATTAATGATCTGTCTCACATAAAATTGTGTCTGAACTAAATTTTTCGGAATTTATTTAGTTAGTACGTAAATGCAAGAATGTGAACATTTCATTTTTACAACGATAATAATGCGCAACCAATAATTATTGTTATCGTTATGTATATCGATAGATATTTATAAAGCATCATTTTAATCTGGCAAATTTTGCAGTATCATTATGTACAGCACGTGTACAGTAACTAGTTAAATGTGACCTATTTTTTTTTTATACGTAATGCACACTATCGCTACAAACATTCAGAACGAGAACCAGCAAACTAATGCATGGCCTAAAACATATTCAGCTGCGAGCTGATTATACGAACACATGTTGAGCGAAATTTCATTCACGTTTGTAGAGCATTTGTAAGGGGATAATGGTTTCAAATATCGATATACATGTGCAAGTACCGGTACGTATAGCGATAATGCGACATGTTAACCTTACTTATACATGTATGTGCAATATCGATGTGATATGTATCTTATATGGAATAAAAGTACGTAGAAAACCATAACAATAATACGATTATACACTATTTAGGTATGGTGTGGCAAAGTTCTATAATTAAGAGTGAGAAAATATTTTAGCATAAATTCAACGTTAGTATTATAAGCTCGAATTTCTTTTTCTTATCATTATGTGCATATGACGATAGTATAAAATTCCTGTCGATTTAATATCATTTTTAATTCTTATAAAGCAAAATTTTTTAAATTATGTGAGAAATATTTAGAAGCCTCGTAACTTATTTCCCTATGGTACTTTAACCCTTTATTACTTTCTAGATTTGTATTTGAAAAATATCGGTAATTCTACAGTGCAGGCACCTAAAGAGCATCATTAAAATGTTCCTAGTTTGTCAATAATGTTTCTATTAAGATGAAAATAAGTAACAATATTTGTTGTTGAGAAATACTATAATTGTTCCTTATTTTTATCTTAATATAAACAATATTGACAAACTAGTAGCATTATAAAGCAGTTTTTTATTGGCGCTCTTTAGGTTGCATTAAGAAAATTTAAACTTAGCGTTAGATTGAATTTATTTAAAATCGCGATGGTTTTTTCTTATTAGGGGAAAAAAATAAAAATCGGTAAATAATAAAGCGATAGAATATTAATTAATATCGGTATATCGCATAAGTTTAAAGCTTTATTAATTGAGAATTAATCGGTAATAGCCAATATCGTAAATTATATACGTAGTCGTTAAATCGCACCCTGATTGTACTGTAATTACAATTTCGGCAGTTTTTTTGGGTCAATCAGAACTTCTAGGATTGATAAAAGATATAGTCAAAAAGACCATCATACACTTGGTTCGTTTGAAATCTGCAATACAACGACTCTGCGAAATACATGTATTAAAATTCGTTGACATTAAAAGAAGAACCATACCTTCATATTGTGTGTAAATCAATTCTGTTTAAGTTGTTTTTTATTGTCCAATGACATTAAAAGAAGCTTTTATTATTTATAACATTTTGCTTGTTTTAGATAAAATAAACTCTCTAAATGTACCATAGGAACCAATTTTGGACATGCAATTAGAGCGGATGTGTAGAATCAAATATTAGGACCTATACATGTAGCTTGAGACCAAGCCAGGTATGCATTTAGGGCGATTTACTGTAAATTAGACATGTACATGAGATTAAATAATTGATGAATAATAATTCTCTTAACAAAGTTTGAAGAAACATAATATTATCGTTATTATATCGGCCAACATTTTGTTAGCTTATACAATAATTTTTTCAAAAACAGATTCAAACTACTCTAAAGTGCAACTGTTTTTGTGGGTTTACTTGTAAGTCACTCGGTATATCTTCACTTTCTTTAATTCCATTTAACATGTTAAAGGTAAATATACAAACAGAACTTAAACATCCAAACTAAATCTTAATTAATTTGATTTATATTTTGAAATCAAACATCATTTGAACTTGAAATTAGTTTTGAATTAAAGATTCGACTGGTGTAAACTGCATTTGAATGGTTTTTTTAGTTTTTTTGTAAGAATGCATTTTGCAATTTTATCTCGTGATCAAACTTTTTAATCTCTGCTTTTTTAGTTTAAAACACTCAATTTTTCAAAAAAGTTACAAATTTCCTCAGCAGTTGGTCTGTTTTTGAAATAGGATTCAACATTTTCCAATAATAAATTTGCTCCATCCAGAAACAGTTTATGTCTTACGCTTTAGCGATATATATATCATAACCTCGCTCAAAATGGTGGTAACAATCTAATCATCTCAAAGCTATAAATATTTGCAGCTTTAGTGTAATCAATTTAGTACTTCTGGACTCATATAAAGGACTCCGAAAATTTCTCGATAAGATCTGCTGGTCCGGTCCGGGCAACTGAAGTATTACATGTAATATTTTTGGGTGAAAATCACGATGCATAAATCCCTTTTCGTGAATTTAATATAGATGTGTTAATTTTTTTCTCCAAGCCAACTTTTCGTATTTGGAATCAATATCGATATACATTACATGTATTTGCATAATCCATTAATATCGAGTACAGTCACACCTCGTTAAACCGAAGTGGTCGGTACTATTAGTGAAAAATTCGGTTTATCGAGGTTTATTTAGTAAATTCGGTTTATGAAGGAGATTTACTATAACTGTTCCTAGACCCAACTTCGGTTTATCGAGGTTTTAATTAGTGCTTGGTTTAATGAGGTTTTACTGTATTCGTTTGTAACTGGTGATTCTATAATAATTTAAACCATACGTGCTGCATTTAGAGCAGTCTGAATCTATTTGCAAAAACTCAATCGAATTAGAAACAAAACAGTAGTACTTAGTTTCTTGATAACGAACACATTTATTACAATCATGAGTATCTGATTCCATCTTTGAGTTCATTTGTTAAAATGTTTTTTAGTGGTTGTGTTGCACTAAAATAAGAATCATTTTCATTTGTTATAAACCGGTTTCTGTGTCGAGTACCAATTGTTTGTTTCATCGTTAGGGTTAGGGTAAGAATTTCGCAACAGAGCACAGAACATGTACATTGACAGAAATTTCAGGTTCGGCTAGATTTGAAGTGATAAGAGTGTTACAATATTGTTATTTTCGTTTTGTCGTGCCGAAAGCGTTTAATAATCGTAAAGGTGACGAGCAATCAGGTGTATGTACGTATAAAGCAAGGAATTTCCAATTAAACATGAGCATGATCGTGATATCGATATGCATAATTTCTGTATACATGTACATGTAACTAAACTAAATTTATTTGAATAATAACGATAATGAGCCTTAATCAGATGTCTCGACAAGTCAGATAAATTTCTTCTATTGCTTTCGATTTAACGAGTTTCTATGGTCTGATACCATGAATAGTGATGACAGAGTTTAATTCCCTTCAATGCATCTAATTTATCTCAAATGAAAGACAATAGGTATATCAGTAAATACTATATGTGAATTAATCAAATATATTATTGGGAATTCTTTGCATTAGCGTTAGGTATGCTAATTATTGTTAATAAACATATATTTTAATAAATTTTTGTTCTTTCTATTACTTTTCATACTCACATGGCTAATTGTTTATCCAACTAGTGCAGATAACGCGAATTTTCAATAAACGATAACCCAAATTTAATATTAAATGTGCGATAATCTTTGAACCGTATTCTGCAATTCGTCACATTAAAATGAAATTTTTAAAAGCAAATTGTTTTACCATAAACCAAACATCGCTTTTCCATTCATTATTATTTTTTGCTGTTATTTGCCCCTACTTACTACACGTACTATACATGTGTGAATTATACGCAATGCTCATTAGCAAACATGTGATGCTGGAATAATTTAATGTCAATATATAAAATTTCGAACATAGTATTAATTTTTAATACTGATGTTGAATTATTTTATAAATTTAGTTTCAATATAAAAAATGGTTAGTAACAAAATAAAATTGGTGCATATGACATTTCACAGCAATCACAAAAAAATATTTTTCCATTTACATATACGTGTACTATTTTAATGGTATTAATTTATTTGCTGATGCATGAAATGTCACTATTACATGAATTAATTTTGACTCAGTTTTATATAATTACTTTCACCAGTAAAATTCACATTTTTCGGGGGTACATGGAATTAATAATTTTTAACTATTATACTGTAAACGGATATTTGGCTCACTCTGTATATCTTTTTAGGACATTTCAATAACACTCTGAAGGTGTAAATTTATTTCTTACTTTGAATACCCTTTCTAGCATTCTGCATACATTATTTACAATTTACAATTTAAAATTAATATTCCAAGGATATTCAGAGTATTTATCCACTTTGTTTACAGTATATTAACAACTAAAAATTTTTTGCAACTTTCTATAATATTTTACAAGATGCACAGAATGTTATTGAGATATTATAAAAAGTTGCAAAAAATTTTAAGTTATTATTAGGAGTGCAAGCATTTCTTAGATCAAGGGCAGATTGGCGAGGTCTGTCTCAAACCCTACTACATGCTAGAAATTTCGAGAATCAAACTCGGAAGTATTTATCCGCTTCTGCCCTCATAAAAATAAGACCTTCTACAATGCAAGGTAGTGGTTAATCGAGAAATTTGACAGGCATTACGTGCACGTGACTGGAATTTCAAAGACGGCCCGTCGCCAAAAGTGCCTATTGTGGAACTTTCGGAATAATGACGAAGTGAGGGAAGGGAGGCTGAAAAAATGTATTTTTTACATGATGCGTAAAAAATTAACGCAAATGTTCGATTCATGTAATTTATTAACTTGAAATAAAAAAACTTCATCATTGATAATAAGTTAAAAATATAAGGCTGATGCCCATTATACATCGTGATCTTTTTCCTGCATTATCTACACACTATCCCTCCAGCAAAGTTTATGCATACATTGACGAAATGAAAGGGATATTTTTGATAACCTCTGCGATAATTACAACTTTATGATGCCTGATTTCCTCCCTTGTCATAACATCATAGATATCTTCCATCCGAGCGACATCATCAACCATAGCCCTATTATGATCAAGCAACAAAGTATCCAACTTGACAAGCTTGGCGGCCGGAATGATGATTGGTGAATCCTAACATGGGATCCAGAACTATTATTGCCTAAGAGCTCACTTAACACCTGAACTGCAACACTCCGACTTGGTGCCTTCCAACTCTTTATTGTTTTACCTTTTCTAACCATAACATTAACCAATCGTCTCTGAGGTCTGATAAAATTCCAAAAACCTTCCTACTTGCGGGGGTAATCAAATCAGCAATTAACATTTCCTTAATGACTTGCATTATATGTTTCCCTTCTCTATCTGCTTCTTCAACTCCAGAATTGCATAAATACTCTCTGGAACCGGATGACTTGCGATATCAAAGTCATTCACAACCACTACATTAGTTACACCATGAACATAAATGATATCCTGTGGTCATTAGTAAGTGATGGTTGCCCCAAACATCATGCCAAACAAGACTACTGGTTAAAGGGATGTGTGGCGTAACCATTTCAAGTATTCTCCCTTATGGCCGGTTCTAACATATCCTTCCATTCGAAATCTGGTGGTGTTAAATTACCATGAATAAGTGTTGAAGGAGACATTATCGACTGAAATTAAGATGTGTTTTTAAACATTAGAAGTCCTCTGTACCAATTTTGGAGATGGATATAGTATCAATAGTCGGTTGGGTAAGTTTACGGTGGATTTCATGAATTTCGGTGATTGCATCTTGTGAAAGGTAGGAAGAGGCTTATGTATTATTCGCGCATTATCTTCGCCCTTAAGTGTTTCAATTAAATATGCGACTGCTCCTGCTGGTCCTCTTAGCATGTTATAAGAAGCTATAAGCTCATTTTTGGTCAAGCCAAGGAATGCTTGGCCGGCGACTCTGTTTCCTATTAATTATTTCATTATTTTCGTCAACATGAAACAGATCATCTTTTTTGGATTTTTAGAAAACTAACAACTTACGTCGGACTCCACTTTTTTGATTTCTTCGACGCTTGGAATAGTTGAAGCAACTTCTTTATCCTTCTTAGATGGAGTAACTTCGGTGTGCTTGACACCCTCTATAAAAACTATTTTATCGATAAAAATGAGTTGTTTCTCCACAAACAATACTCGTAATACACCTACTTTACCTGTAGACGGTTCTCTTGGAAGGGTGATGCTATTTCCTCGGACTTTACTTTTCTCACCTGTTGGAAATTTTTTCTTTGTTTGGAAAAAAGTATTATAGTGCAGAAAGTCTAAAGCATCCAATACTTTGAACTGTAAAGGATTTGCATTTAAATGTTTAATCACATTAGAAATACATTACCAATTAGCCTTTGATAAGATCTATAATATATTAATCAGTGAGTAGTTAGAATTTTTCAAAGATCACTTTGAACAGCTATATCATATAAATCATTTCTGATCGGCTGGATTTCTTCATGTAGAAAATACCTGATTGTTTCCAGATAAAAATCACGTAAAACATGATTCACATTATATATCGATATATCATTTTTAGTAACTCATACCTGCATATCTAAATTTTAGCAATAGCACAGCATTGGATGACTTAGACTTTTTGCTTTAAGCACACACATTTGGGAAAATCAATTCATGCACTAAATCTTACTGTGGAAATTAGAGTTTTTTGGGGGAAATACATTATATAAATGTGTGACACACTAAAGATTAGTGCTCCAATCTGGTCCGTGACCCGACCCGAACCGCACACTTCGGGTCGGGTCGGGTTTGAGTCAAACCCAATCGAAATATTCGGGGTAAGCTAAAAATCGTTATTTCTCGTTCAATATCGATCCAAATTAAACGAAAATTTGCGGATATATACATAATTACATTCCGAACAACTCACAGAATAGTAAAAATAAAAGTCATTAACGAAAAACTATTTTACAATTTTCGTATCAAATCCGACCCGAACAGAGCTTTATTTCTTGCTTTTGGCAAGAATAAATTATCAGTCATTACTCTGATAAATAATCCTGAGACTATGCATGAAACTACTATTGAAGATGTTCATGAGGAAAGCTCTAGTTCAACCATTCGACAAGATATTTTAGTTCTATCTGACGTGATACAAACTATTCACTATATATAAGAAAAATTCGACACTATATGAACAAGAGATGGATAATGAAAATTTTGTGAAAAATTTTAAGGTTTTGATGAAATCAATGATTAAGCAATAGATGAATATCAAGAAGCTCTGCAAGTTTTTAATCAGTAGGATGTTTGGGGATTAAAAAGTGAAAGGCTTGCATTTTGGTTGCGTTTGATAACTTGGATGTTTCCCAAATACAGATTAATGTCGAGTTTCGGATGTTCGGGTAGTTCGGACTCGCGTGATCTGAACATTTTTTTGTTGTGGGTAGGTTACTATCCACTGCCCTAGCTACGTCAGCTATTGAATTTCTGTAATGCCATGATTTTTGCCGTTGGAGTAGCTGCCCCTAGCTTGAGCAATGTCTGCTTGAAGGCTCATCCTTCTTTATTCAACACTCCAATTTGTATATCGATAGTTTCATAAAGTAGACCATTTTTAAAAGGTTATTCTACATGTATAAAACTTGCGACATTAAAAATTTTGCAAATTTTTAGCTTTCAACAAGTATCGAAACAATTGGTATCGGATTCAATTTTGAAACGCTAGAATTTTTTCATAAATTTCTTATGGAAAAATAAAAACGAAATAGTAGCAAAGACAGGATTCAAGGTGCTCAAATTCGTCAGTTACCAATTAGCATATTAAAGTCAAGTTTTGCTCATCGCGTTGAGAAAAATCGCTTCAATTAAATACCAGAATTTTCGCAGGAATGCCATTGATATTTTTATTTGATAGAGAAGTTGTTCAAAATATATTACTTCAATAATATTTGGTTGATTCTCGCTTAGCCCGAATGCCGGAAAGTGCTAACAAGATAGCTGAATGCGTTGAAAAAGTTCTTGTCATTTGGCTGTTTGCCGATAATCACTGAAACGTCGATATTTGATAAAATTAAAGATTAAAAAGGTGGGAGTCTAATGAAATGTTGACATGTGCATGTTTTCATTATTTCTGGAATTATTTTGTTGATATCTTCATGCATTTAGTTATACTAGCAAAAATTCAATTGCTCGAATTATAAATATTCGAATTGCAAGAAATTTCAAAATCCTGAAAATCAAAATTAAAGAATGCTAATTGAACTCTAAAAAAGCTAAATGCATGAAGAGTTTGATTGATTCAATGCACATATACAAGAATCAAAAATCGCATTATATATGCGTTCAATTAAAAATCATTATGATCGATTCGAATAACCCATCAAATATTGATGCATTGAACTAAACTTATTATAAAAAAAGACATTGAAGACGCTGAAATTCCATCAAACAAAACAAGAAATTTACAAATCAATAACTGAAATATTTTTTTAATAAAAAATCATAAATCTAAAAACAATGTTTGCCAAATTAACCCTCATCTTAAACGTCGCTATCCTTCTCTTGGAATCGTCCACTGTATTGTCAATTCCAATCATTATTACTCCAACCCATTTCGAGAAACGTGCAGTCACACCATGTTTCCTAGGTCCGGAAGCTGAGAAGCTTGAGAAAATTTTCTTCGTCGACAACAATTTTGCTGCATCAAATTCACACGGAATCTTTGGCCCATCTAGCGTTGCTGATTCCGCAAAAAAGGCTCTGGTTTTTGCTAATGATAACGCTTTCATTAAACGTGCTATTGGAGTTCCTGGTTTCGGTCCGGAAGCTGAAAAACTTGAGAAAATTCTCTTCGTCGATAACGCTTTTGGTGCATCAAATTCACATGGAATCCACGGCCCATCTAGCGTTGCTGATTCCGCGAAAAAGGCTCTAGTTTTTGCTAATGATAACGCTTTCATTAAACGCGATCCTTCAGTTACACATCATCCTCTTACTTTCCTTGGTCCAGACGCTGAAAAAGTCGAGAAAATTTTCTTCGCCGATAACGTTTTTGGTGCATCGTCAAACGGAATCTTTGGACCAACTAGTGTTGCTGATTCCGCGAAAAAGGCTTTGGTTTTTGCTAATGATAATGCTTTCATTAAACGCGATCCTTCAATTATGCATCATCCTCTTAGTTTTCTTGGTCCAGAAGCTGAAAAACTTGAGAAAATCATTTTCGCCGATAACAACTTTGCTGCATCGTCAAACGGAATCTTCGGACCAACTAGTGTTGCCGATTCCGCAAAAAAGGCTAAGGTTGTTGCTTTTGATGACGCTTTTATTTAGTTAGTAATTTTTTTAATGTTACAAAATGGTTTGATGTAATACTGAATATCTTAAAAATGAGTTTTTAAATAAAATGTTTTTTCAATATTAAGATTAGAACAACATAAGATCATATTTATTTCTGATAAATATATTTGTATAAAAAATAGCATGTTATAATTCCGATTGATCTAATTGCGAGAAACTGATTGATCATAATATAAATATTGTTCTTATCGCTAATTAGAAATAACTAACAGAATATTGTATATAAGTCAATTTTGATGCAAATAAGCAATATTCTATAAATAAAAAATTCTTATTTAATTTAGATGTTTGGTTACTTATGAGTTGTATTCAATCTTTTCATTTTTGATAAATCATAATATTGTAATGATATATAATAGTATTTTGATTTACTAAACAACTATTCGGATTTTATTCTCTTTCAACATACGTATGATCTTTTGTCCATGCACATAAAGAATAATAACAGATTGATTTTTTAAAAAAATATTTATAAATAAAAATAACTAATTATCATGTGAGTATTAACCTTAGTCAATTATTAGAGAATTAGATATCAACCGATTTGATTTGTTATATTGCATAATAATTGCTATGTCTAACCAATGAGTCATTGAATGTTATAAAATTCAAAATCAAATTGGCTGATATGAATAGATTCGATTAACCATTTGAAACTTGTCAATATTAACCACAACCTCCGGTTAACAAGTGCCAGTGCGGCCAACCCTCGTTAATATGCCACTGTCTGTTCGGCATATTTTGCTCATAATCACGAGTTGTCATAATATCGAATATACATGTACAATGATTGCAAGATTTATTAATGATACAGTAATTATAAATTAAACCACTATGCAGGGGAATGAGAAAAATGCAATTTGCTGGGGTAAATAAACCAAATTCAGTTTTACACGCATATCAGGGAGATAATTATAATTATCGATCACCGGACCATTTTATAATAAAGGGAGAGCATAATGTATGCTGTTCTGTGGTTTTTAGTCATATACATGTATCATATAACGAGACTATAATAGTGAGAGCAAAAAAAGACTGTTATTGTTTGTATTGACCAGCTTGGTTATACTATATCATTTAATTATTTGGAACATTGAATATATGATAAGCTGATTAATAAATAATCAAAGTAGCATTTGACGGATGCGAGAACCAAGATTATTTAAGGTTTCTAATGAACGAATCTCACATTAAAACAAAAAGGTCTAGATGTTAACTACGAAACAAATACAGTATATAACTAAATCACTGTATGTCCGTAAGCTATAAATATAAAAAATTTAAGTTGCACACTGCCACAAACACATTGTCCCGTTTACAAATGACTCCAAGACTTTGTTTCCACTAATTCCACATCTTATTGCCATTCCAATTTCAATGGAACAATCCAGTTTTGTATTTTTTTTTTATTAATTGTGGCTTTAAAATAAAATTAATAAGTCTTTTATATTTTAAAATCAATATATTTGAATTATTATTTATAACTTTCATCTATGTTATTATTGTCTGGAAAGTAATACAGTCAACTATTGATATAGTAAATTTGAGCTCAAAAACAGTATATATTAAGTCCACTCGATATAGTGAATTTATTAATAAACCCTCGATATAGTGAATTCTTGAAAATTTTTCACTAATAGCCCGAACACTTAATATAACGAAGTTTGACTGTATATCTTATTGCATATGGAAGATCATGCTTCAACTTTGTAATATATCTGTTACTATAGGTCTTTAGGTTCTGGTTCTCATATTCAGTATTGCATCTGAGATAATTTTTTCTTTTTCAGCAATTTGACCATTATCTCTGCTGTTTATAGGACTTTTAATGATGTCAGTATCATATTTATAACATAAATGATAAAATAAGAAAGACATTGAACTAATGATTGTAAATTTTTTAAAAAAATAAGATTCGAAAGTCTCATTTTTATTGAGTAATGAAAATTCAATGTTCATTTTTACTTATTAATATTTTAGTTTTTATTACATTACATGTACTATCTTTGTTTGCTGCTACATAATATTGCTTGTTTAATATATATCCTAATAATTAATTGAATCCTTTGAACGGCGCTAAATATTTTAAATAAAAGAAACACATTTCTATAAACGTTATCACAAATTTCTCTTTCTCAATCGTTTTTGTCACATTTTTAATGTCGATTCAGCTTAATTCCGCCAGATGATGTGATTGTTTCATTTGTTAAAAATGCTCCGTTTTTGGCTTCTCGTCGCTCAGTTTTGCCACTTACCGAGCATATAACTTTTTTGGACCTAGCGTAACTGGTATCAATAAATTCTTCATCACAGATAACTCATTTTCTGCACCGTCTTCTCTCACATTCGGATGCTTCAGTTCATTAGCATAGCCAAATCCTCGAAACTCGTTAAAATTTGTGAATTTTTGATTCTCTGATTGTTCGCCAAGAAATTGATGATTTCACTGTCTCTACTGCCTCGTATAACAATTGGTTCGATGGATTGGCTGGTTTGCGAGAAAAGCTAATTTTCGACAGAATTTATGTATTGTACATGTACAATGACTCACAAGAAATGAAACACGCGATCAAACTTGCTAGAATTTTTATCTTCGTCAATATCAGTCCAAACAAAATAAAAAAGTATTCATTTTGAACCACAAGACCTCTAGTATTTTTTTAAAAACAGAATTTTTTGTAAAACTGAGTAATTTAAATCAAAATTTTCAATTAGTAAATTTCTCACATTGAAGAACCTTTTTCTATGACGGTCCAAATTTGGACCACTAATTAAAAATGCTATTATACTCCGTCTATGTACCGATTTTCATAAAAATTGACTTCAAATTTATCGAGATTTAAGGTATCTTAAATATCGATAAATTTGAAGTCAATTTTTATGAAAATTGTACATAGGCGGATTTTCTAGAGTATAACATTTTTTAATTAGTGGTCCAAATTTGGATCTGTCATAGAAAAAAGTTCTCCAATGTAAGAAATTTACTAATTGTAAATTTTGATTTAAATTACTCAATTTTACAAAATTGACTAAAATAATCTGTTTTTAAAAAAATACTAGAGGTCTTGTGGTTCAAAATGAATACTTTTTTATTTTGTTTGGACTGATATTGACGAAGATAAAATTCTAGCAAGTTTGATCACGTGTTCCATGTTTTCTGTGAGTTACGGTACATTAACGTTAATCGATTGAGAGTATCGATTCCTATCCCTAATTCGGCATACTAAAATAAATTTTTCATATTAAATAATTCGGTATACATACACATATATAGTAAAATATTAAAATTTTCTGTTTATTTAATAATTCTTTCAATGGGTGATGTTCAACATCCCAATCCGACATACATAAGTCCAACAAACGAGATCCCGAATGCACAGCATACCGAAAGCACGAAATCCCGAATGAAAGGACGAAATCTCGAATGAACGATATACCGAATGCACGAAATCACGCATTTACTAATTCACCCAGGTTTCTAATTGGATGCAAGTAATTTCTATCGTTGATTTGTTGACTGAACACCGAGTTTTCTAGATTAACCAATAAATTTTTGATCAGACCGGCAAAACAAATCCGACACAAGAAAGTTAAAAATGCGAATAATGTGAAATATACGGAAAACGAATGCTTAGATTTGGCTTGAAGCACTAATAAAAAATGTCGGGGAAGCAATTTTACATGTAGCATTGTTCTCAACTCTAAATTTAACCCCAATCCAACGCTAAAATTAACCTTTAATACCCTCAACCAATCAGAAACCTGGGGGATTAGTAAATGCGTGATTTCGTGCTTTCGGGACGCCTCTTTTCAGGTAATTTGTCCATTCGGTATGTTGTTCATTCTCCTTTCGGTATGCTGTTTATTCGGGATTTCGTGTTTTCGCTATGCTGTCCATTCGGGATTTCGTTTGTCGGGTTTATGGCTTGTCGGGATTATGTCGTACCAGATCCAATAGAACAAAGCCAGCTTAACACAACTCCGGTTTAGTGAGAGATATTGTGTATATAAGCATACTGTTGCAAGTGGATCGTAATTAGGCGTAATCAACGATTTTACCTACAACAATTGTGGGGGGGGGAGAAAGTGTATAGACTGATTTGTACTCGTTCGTTATCTAATTCCTGTGCCGATATCTACGGATATCGTCGG